AGTATCATATCATCAGCAAATAATGACAGTTTAACTTCTTCCTTTCCTATCTTTATTCCTTTTATTTCTTTCTCTTGTCCAATTGCTGTGGCTAATGTAGGAATCCACCATCTTTTCCTGTTTCCTTTACATCTCTCTTACCTTCCTTAGGGCTCTCTGAGCTGGGACCTTTTCACCGGTCTCCATAGCAGTCAGAGAAGATAGAAGAGAGTGGAAGGCTCTGGTTTACCTGGCCTGACGATGAAGAAAATGGTCAGGGTTTGGAAAAAATTTCCCAAGTCATTCAGATCTAGGACTGTATCAGGAGAAGAGGATTCATGGAGGAATTATGTGCAGTCCCTGCAGCTTGAAGGTGGGCGTCTGCAGCCTACACACTGTACTGTACTTTATTTTCTTGGCTCTCGCACATGAATTCCACAGAAAGAAAACAACCACCCAGGCTCTGTTCTTACACTCACATCAGGGCTTCTGAATGCCTTGTAGACTGTCTACCCTTTATTTTATTCTATAAAAGCATGTGTTGACTGTCTTTCCTTCTTCCTGAAATCAGCTGCTTTTGCTGAAAGACCCTGATTCTAGGTAAACCCATGGATTTCCTGGAGAGTGGAGGCAGAAGTCAGAGGACTGAGGACTGGAAATGAGGTGCCGCTGCTGGCCTCATTCATAGCCCTTCATTCTCTTTTTCCTGGATTATTATCAGGCCCTCTCAACTGTTTTCCCTGCCTCTGATACAACTTCCAATCTGCATCCAAACTTTCATTTAAAAAATACCCATTTGTTGATGTCATTCCCCTGTGTAAAACCTCGCAGTGGTGTTACCCTCTGGATAAAGTCCAAGCTTATTTGTACAACTTGCATAGGTCTGCAAGTCCTGGCCCTGTCTAACTTTTCATCTTCTGGTTCCTTGTACTGCACCCTGTGTAGAGCCAGTCTCTTGCTATTCCCTAACTCTATCCTCTAGGCACTTTCCTCCCTTTACTCTCTCTCTTTTTTTTTTTTTTGGTGGTACCAGGGATCAAATTCAGGACCTTATGCTTGCAAAGCAGGCAAGGCACCACTGAGCTAAATCCCTGGCCCCTCCTTTTACTTTTATGGAACCCACATCCAGCCAATCCTTCCTTACCTTTGCTGCCTGTGGAACCCCTCTTTATCCTCTAGAATTCACCTCAAAAATGATCTTCTACTAGGACCCCTCATGGGAGTTCCCAGGAGGAGTTTCTTTGCCCCTCCTCTGTGTTTTTGGGATTTAGGATAGCACAATGGTTACTGTTATGTAGTCTAGAATTGGACTCCCTGGATTTCAACCAAACCTGGCTCCTCCTCAGATGCATAATGAGGACAAGATGAATTACTTGCTGCCCTCTGCCCCCTGCCACTTACACATAAATTTTTCTTGTGCTGGGGAGTGAACCTAGGGCCTTTGTCATGTTAGGCAAGTGCTTTGCAACATCTCTAATCTTTGGGGATAATATTAATAAACTCATTGGTAAGATTGAAAGGGGCAATAACTTAAAGTGTTTAACACAGTGTTTGGTCTTAGTTTGTACTCAACAAATGTTATTTTTTCTGATTTCTGTGGCACTTTGTATATACCTTTACTAAGTTCTTGTTACTTCATTTATAAATATTTTTATGTATCTGTCTTACTAGACCTGTGTTCTTTGAGGACATTTGCAGATGTTCACTATGCCTAGAAGTTTATAGAGAATGTTGGTTAAGTGGATTATTGCATGTTGATTTGTCTTTAAAATGAAAACAGGCGGGCCGGGGATTTAGCTCAGTGGTTTCTGCACCTTCCTGGAAACCGCAAGGTCCTGAGTTCAATCCCTGGTACCAAAAAAAAAGAAAGGCAACGGACAGAGTAGGACATACTTACTTACGATTGGGTTTGTGGGTGACCAGAGATTCACAGTTAGTGTGACTTGATGTCAGCTGGCCTCCTCTGTGCCTGAGTCCCTTCTATTGCTTCCCAGAGCAGGGGCAGTATTTGTTGTTTCTAAGACAAGGCAGGAGGTTATTCAGAAGTTAAGCATACCCTAGGCACCAAATTCATGTTTTGTTATTGTTTTTGTTTTTATTGTGAACTCTAGGTGACATGTCTGAGAGTAAAGCCAAGAAGATTGAAATCAAAGATGTGGATGGACAGACACTCAGTAAGCTGATTGACTACATCTACACTGCTGAAATTGAGGTGACGGAAGAGAATGTGCAGGTAAATGCAGTCCAGCAATAGCTCAGTGTATTGCTTTTTTTTTTTTTTTTAAATATTATTTAATTTAACCCTCGCAACAACCAGTGGTCTCTAAAAAGGAAAGTAAAGCTCTAGGGAAGTCAGGTGGCTTCTCCTGGATCAGTGGCCAGTTGCTAAGCTAGCTGGTCCCTAAACTCCTGCCTGCCTGGTTCAGGTACTTGTGCCCACAACCACTAGGCAGTAATGTCTCTGAATGAACTTGGGCCCAGGAGTGGCAAGTCTTTTTTTTTTTTTTTAATATATTTATGCTATATATAATTGTCCATCTTAGGATTTTGCTACAGAATATCACCCTGGAATTCTATTTTTTAAAAAAAATCACCTGGAAGAATTAGATGATGATTGTAAAATAGATTCTCCCATCATAACACTGTTTCTGTCACTTAGAGTTTTGACAAGAGATGTGGTTGGGGACTGAAGAACTTTATGAGAAAGCCTCATTCTTCCATCAGCTGGATTGCGTCCAAAGTATTTCACCTGAATTTCTTGGCCAACTTCTAATCCTAGGGCACTGGGATGTTTAATCTTTCATTGATCAAGTTATGTGTTATGAAGTAGTACTGCAGTCATATTTGGGTGTAGTTTTACCATTACTCCAGAGTCTCTGATTTCAATTATTGTGGCAGTATAAACAGCTCCAAATTCTAATTGGTATTCTTGGTCATCTTTACAGATTTCAGTGTTGAATTCTCTTGCCTCATGCATTGCACTAGGTGTTGGTGCAAACACAGAATATGTTTCTTCATCCACTTGACTAATAGTTACACCTGTTTAACCTTGAAGTCTTTTTAAATGATATCCACCTGGTCCAACAAATTTTGCTCTTTTTGATAATGGAACTTCAACAGTTTCTTGTGCTGCCATGGCTCACAGGAGACTCAGGAGTGGCAAGTCTTGAACTCATGTCAGTTGAGTATTTTGTGAGGGAGGAACCAGAAAGTTAGGTGACCTATCCGCCCTCAGGGTTTGAGTATTGGATTGTGAGGCTGTTAACATTTTTTTTTTGTTTCAACATTAGTCATCCAAATGCCCCTGAGCTTATAGAACTGCCACGCACCAGGAGCATGTGGTTTGACATGTGTCGTCTATGCCTTTTCCCTCTTTCAGTTCCACCTCATCCTTGGCCATGTGGAGCCTTGAAAAGAAAAGAAAAGCCATTGAGGACAGTGCTTCCCCCAAAAGAGTGCGTCAGTATCTTGCCCCAGACAGGGAGGTGGTTGAAGATGTCACTTTTCCTTCTGTAAAGTAAGGGCCTAGGACTCTGGCCTCTGACCAGAGATGGCATTCATGCTGCTTGCCTCCCATTTGTTTTTCTTCTTCCTCCCAGAGCTTCTCCAGCACCCCTATTGACACCATGCCTCAAGGATTAATTTTCTGACCTGTAAAGCAGGAATTATGATAGTACCCATTCTACTGGGTAGTTAATGAGTTATAGACTGCCTGGGTTTGAATCCTGGCTTCTCCATTTTCTAGTTAAATCGTCCTGGCAAGTTACTTCACTTAACCCTCTGTTTTCTTCTATATGGGCATACTAATCCTATTTAACCTGATTGTCAGGTGTATGTAAGGATGAAATGTATCAATGTAGGTGAAGTGCTTGGAGTTGTGCCTGGCACATGGTAAACAATAAGTGTTGACTATTATTACCTAGAATGGGGAGGTGGCAATGGAGTCATGTATTTGTGGAAGGTTTCACCAGGTTTTCTTCTCTGCCTGGGTGCTGATAGGGACTGGAGAGAAGGATCTAGTAGGGATTAGGATCCATGGTAAGGAGTGGTGGGCAGAGACTGAGCCAATCTGGCCTAGAAGTGTCTGGTAATTCTCCCAAGTAGAAGACAGTTTGGGATACATCCTTCCCTGGGTATGCCTGGAATGCTTGGCAAGACCAGAGACCCGGGGTTGGTGCTGGCTGTTGCTCTGAAGAGAGGTCCCTTTAAGAGATCTGTTAAGTAGCCAGATGGAGGGGAAAGCACAATCTAGAAGGTACAGGGCTCAGGGGCTGTCTCATTCACTCCTCCTCCCTCATGGTAGATTGTGTGTAGTCTTGTCTTATTCATTCAATCCCTCATTCAGCACCCATTTCCCCGAGCTCCTCCTTGGTACTAGCAGACAGTATGGCCAAAGAGGGTGCTGTGACAGGCTGTTTCCCCAAGAAGCAGCCGCCCTGAAGGTGGAGGCAGATTGCTACGCAAGCGGGTATCCTAGTCTGGTGGGGGTGGGGAGAGGTGCCCTGGAAGCAGGAAATAGTCATTGCTTACTTGGTGAGGACAGTCACAGCAGAGCTCACTGAGCAAATGCCACATGTTTGGGTCTAATCTCAGAGGGTGGCTGGGTGGTCAGGCTGCCCCCTCTGCTCAGTACCTAGGTCCCCACTGATTGGTGAGCTTCTTCATGTGTGTGGAATTAGGCTGGGCTGGCAGGTACAGTGGTTCTGCTGAGAGGCACCATGTGAGATCCTGAGGGAACTGTCATTATTTGGAATCAATGCAGTATAGGGACTATGCTTTTCCTTCTTCCTCTTCACGCTCAGCTGTGTTTAGGTCAGGATGACTTTGGGGGAAACAGAACAAAAAAAGCTTGTGAAGAAGAATTTAGATCAAAATCAAGATTCTTCACCCTATTACTTGTCTACTGAGACAGCTGCTCATATGTTATCTATGAAGACAGTGTTTGTTGAGGATTTAGTGCACTAAGGAGGTGAACTGGGGGCCAGCACAGGGGCTCTCCTGAGGCCAAAGGTCAGGGCTTGGTTTAATGACCAGGAGAGCTATACCTTGGTCTCTGGGAGTGACCCTGAGTTGCCCTCTGATGGTGGAAGTAATAGCAATTCTGACACTCACTAATCCTGATTATAAGCCAGGCACGTGCTAGTCACTGTGTGTGCACTACTGTATTCTCATGACCACCCAATGGAATGACCGAGATCGAGATCCCTCTTTCAAACTGATGATCGAAAAAGGGAAAGTAAGCTGCCACAGTCAGAGTGTAAGTGGTGGTGTGGAGAGCTGAGTCCAGTTCTCTCCCAGCTCTGTGGAGAACTCCAGTTTCCTGTTAAGTGAATGATTAGAACCTTGGCTTCAGCTCCTCATGACTAATCATAGTAGAAACTGACTTTAACCTTCCCTGAGCACTCTCTTTGTACCAACCACTATGTTCACTGCTTTAAATGTATTTCCTCATTTGATCCACACAAGCCTTGAGAGCAGTACCGTGATTGTCCTCACTTTACTTACTGTTAGGAGGCAGACACAGAGAGGTTAAGCAGTTTGTCCTCAGTCACATGGCTGGTAAGTGAAGTCAAAATGCAAAATGATACTTGTATTCTCAGGACCATTCTGCTGGCTTCCCTGTTCATCTGTACAGCTGTTTCTATCTTCTGTTCTGTCTTCTTTCTCTGAACGGGTTTTAATTTAGCACTGTTTCTGTGCCAGCCAGCCGTGTAGCTGGGGCAGAGGCCCTGGGTGGCCCCGTCACCTGGCACTCTGGCTGGTGCCTCCTGAGGAGCCTGGGCCTGCCTCCCTGGAGGTCCAGGAGTAGGTGCTTTAGGAGGCAGGGCATTTCCTTTTGTTTTTGCTAAAGGAAACACATTCTGTGACGGGATATCCTCTACTGTGTTTTCATGTTATCTGAGGGGAAAAAAAACAAAAAGGGCCTACCATGAAAAAAAGGAGGGCTGACCATTTGAAAGCTGAGGAGGAGACTACAGACTCTGCCAAGGGCCATTGCAGGGCCTGCCTTCCCAGGTGTAACGCTGAGGTGGTAACAGGCAAGACTGAAGGTTTTTGTACGGTGATCTTCCATTCCGATGGGTAGTCCTGGGAGCTGTTCATCTGGTCTCGGCCTCCTCCCTCCCTCCAGGGTCCACACAGTCTGCCCTGGTGACTCTACCAGGACAGTCTCACTTTGAAGCTGAGGGCTGGACATGGCCACCTGATTGTAAGTTTGTTCCTGCTGCCACTTGAAAGAGTAGTTTCCAACAAGAGAAGGTATGATGAAGTCCTCTCAAAGCACCACTGATGAGGGGAGAGGGAACTGAAGACAGTCACCTCATGGGTGTTTTTGCTTATGGGAATTTATTCTGCACTTGGATCCAGAACCTACCACCCCATTGAATTGGACCCCAGTTCATTCCTGAGATGCATTGTCTGAGCAGAGATCTATCTTCCAGCCTCCAAATCGTCCTCATCAGTGTGCTAATTTCTTTGACTTTTCTTCACGCTCTCCCATATGAAGCAAGTAGAGGGAAGCAAAGGGCCTTAGCTGTGTGAGTCAATCTCAGTGTAAGATAAAAGAGCTGGAAAGAGCAATGAGAGAAACAACAAGCCCTGTTCAGTTTAGGAAGCCAATTCAGGAATGCTCTGGGGCAGGATTGGACCCAAACAGGATGAGGGGTGTGGAGAGGTGGAAAGCCTCCTAAGTTTTGTCTATTAAGTGAAGAGTAGAGAAGCTGAAACCTATATGCGTAGCTCTGACCAGGGAGGTTTTAAAAACTGAAAGTGTAACATAAGGAATATGTTCAAGAAACATTTATTATTATACTTCTCTGGCTGGTTGTAGTGAGCTTGAGAATGTAAGCTTCAAGGCATGCTGCTGTCTTCCTGGTGAGGAAAGGAGTGTGATCTTGCTGAGACTTGGCAAGAAGTGCAATCTGGGAGTTACTGTTCAGAGGTAACTCCAACACAGAGCCAGTAAGTGCCCAGTTTGCCAGAACTGAGGGCTCTCCTGAGACATGAGGCTTGTGCTAGGACTGGCAAGGTTCAGAAACACCAGGATGATCGGTCAACCTATGGCCCTTAGTTCAGGCTTTGTAGCTAGCGTTGACCCAGGGAGGTGCCATGGAAGTCATTTGGGACCTGGGGGCAGAGCTTCCCGTTCCTGGTGTGTATTCAGCAAGAATGGTTAATAGATCTACACTTAAATAGCTGCAGAGACTAATCTGGACCTGAAATCTATTTGGCCAGGCTGAGCAAGCTCACAGGTTAATTGACTTTCCTAGTTTATGGCTCCTTAGTGGGGATAGAGCTCAGGTGGTTAGATTTGGATCCTCGCTGTGTCACCTATGGTCTACAACTCTCAGGCGAGGGTGATTTTTATCATTTTATTCCTCAGGAATGAATCAGTGGGCCAGAAAATACCAAGGACGCAGTGCTGATTTACTGCTGTCTTGCTGGGGACAGGGGTGAGTGGAAGAGAGCGTGGAGGAAGGGAGGAATACCAGGTTTTCTAGAGCTCAGCCGCTGTGAGGGAGAAGTTTAAGCTGGTAGGTAGATCTCTCTTTGATGAAAGTAGACATACTCGGAGTATGCCCACTGATAGTGGGGGTCTTGATGGTTACTGCATGTGGGTAGGGTTATTAAAGGGGGACCAGCGGTCCCAGTTTTCATACAGAAAAGTCCTGGGAAATGCCTCAGTTCTAGGCCAACCAGGGCAGTTTGTTACTAGTGGAAAGACAAAGCTCAAGCATGGGCAGTGGGGCAGAGTTTTTGGCCTGAGCACACAGATACAATGAGAATCAGAGTTAAGGGCTCAGAGCTGTTTTGGGCAAAGTCAAGGTCTAGAATTTAAATCATTAAAAAAAAAAAAGACTTGAAGTGCTCAAAAAAAAGAAACCAAATATGTCTATAGGCCTTGTCTTCCTGGTCAAACCCTTGTGTATAGGGTCTCTGTGAGCCAGGGGAGCAGCTGAAAGGCTAGAGTCAAGGGGACTGTTTGGGGGTAAATGGATGTTGGGGGTCTTCAATCTTACTTAAATCTTAGCCTTAAATATTACTGGTCTAGTCTCTGATTTTTTTCCCCCAAATTTCTTTTTAGAAAACCATTCTGACTCCATACTCCTTACATGGGGTAGCAGAGCTGGAGTGGAGTAGGGCTTTGGCTGTCATTCTGTGTTTTTTGACCTTAAGAGCAGGCTTCAGCAGCAGTGAGAAAGTCCTAAGGAAACCTGACAGGGGTTGGCAGCCTGAGCACCCAGCTGGCCTGCTCAAGCCAGTCTTCCCTGGCTCTCAGGAAACACAGACACACACACACACACCTGAGCAAGAACTATTTCTGTCTTCCAGAATGCAGGATAAATACTCATGTGGCCTATGACCTTTTCAAAGAAAACTCTGCTCTCCTTTCTCTGAAAATGTACCCAAAGATGTTCTTTACTTTGTACCTGTTGGGCAGGGGAATAAAATGTGCTTGCCTAAGTCCCAAGGGATTTGAGAGCAGTCTCTGGTTCTGCTAGACTCTAAGCTCCATAAAAGGAGCGTCTTGTTTATTTTGCTTCCCACTGAGTCTCAGAGCCTAGACCAGTGCCTGGCACATAGACCCTCAGCAATTAAGTTGTAAACAAATTAGGGAGTGACTGGATTAGGTATATTTCTGAGTGAAAACAGTACACTAAAGGCTGTCAGGCAGCAGTTCTCAAACTTGGATGACCATTATGAGCATCTGGGGAGCTTTAAAAACACCCAGTGCTCAGGCCATACACCATACCTATAAGTTAGTCTCTTCAGGGGTGACACCTGGGCATCAGTATCAAAATCTTTCAGGTGATTCCACTGCACAGCCGAGTGTGGGAACCTGTGCTAGAGTTTGTGTCTGTGTATGCACATGCGCCTGCATGTGCCCACACGTGTGCATGTGGGCAGGGTTTTGCTGTGCAGTGTGGCTCAGCGATCAGTAGGTTCAAATATCACCTGAGTTCTCCATAGATCTCTGGGCCCTCAGGCCTACCCTAGACCTATGGGATCAGAATCTGCATTTTAATAAGGTCCTCAGGGATTAAGATCACCAAGGGAAGCATCACTGTGGGGGATACAAAGAATCTGCTGGTGCTTGTGTCCATGAAGTGGAGAGTAGGGGGAAGTAAGATTGGAAAGCAAGCTGGGAAATTTAAGTTTACTGGGTAGGCAGTAGAGAGCCAAGAACAAACTATAAACATGGGTGGAATAGTGTGTTAAGGGGATGAGTCCCTGTCAGTGGAATTCAGTGACTTAGAATGTCATATTCTCTTGCAGGTGCTGCTCCCAGCGGCCAGCTTGCTGCAGCTCATGGATGTCAGGCAGAACTGCTGTGACTTCTTGCAGTCTCAGTTGCATCCCACCAATTGCCTGGGCATTCGCGCATTTGCAGATGTGCACACCTGCACTGACCTTCTGCAGCAGGCCAATGCCTATGCAGGTAATGAGCAACCCGGCTGCTGTTCCTCCTCCGAACTTGTAAATATAACCACCTGGTCTGCTGTGGGCTCCTCAGTGATTATGAGAGGTGGTCTCTGCTGTGACGTATCTGTGACTTAGGGAGGCAAGGCACAGGTGGAAAGATAATTAACAATAGTCAAGTTTAGCTCATTGCCAGTGAAATGTGATTAATTGCTAGATGAATGGTTCAGATGGTAGAGAAAAGAGAACTGAGAAGTCTTGAAGGGTGGAGAAGCAAGTTGAGTTAGGTGTTGAAATAGATCTTCTTTGTTGTTGTTGTTGAAGACAATTTTTGTTTTGGTCAAAGTGTTCCAAAAACATATTAAAAGTCAAGTACTATCACCAGGCTTCTAATGATAAACAAGTAACCCCATCCTCTTCCTTTCCACTCTCTTGCTTTCTACAGCCACTCCTTTCAATCCTAAAAGAATTCAAATGCAAGTTCTGATTCAGCTGAAAGCTACTTCATCTGCCATCTACCACCACTTGTCTAAGTAATGTGTGCACACTTTTAATTTTTGACTCATTGGTATTGGATATGATCTGCTGGCTTCTCCAGAAAAGTGATTGGGCTTTCACATGCTTTCCCTACATACACACACTGTCTCTCACCTGATCTTTCTTGTCCTACTGTCAGTCTCATAATGGAACTCAGTCCTGTACAGCATTACAATTAGCCTTTTTAATCAGAATATTTCTTTTTAGAATCCGGAAGGCAGCTAATAATTGTCCTTTTCTTTTGCATGGTAAGTGCTACTGCCACTAATTCTTGTCAGATACAGCTGAATAATCCTTCTCCATCTGATAATATATTGATTCCATTTTATTTTTCTGGGAGACATTCTCCCGGCTACAGCTCATATTCCTATTATTTTAATGGAGGCTTGGGAGGGAGTAGAGATGAACGTGAATATTCACCCCACCATGTTTAGCAGGACAGAAATCTTTGCTGCTATTTATTTTAGCTGGAAGGAAAGCTCATCAGTGACCTAGGAAATGGGTCTGACCATTTTAATTGATAGATTACCTCAGGGATACCTCCTTCCTTTGCAAAAAAAACCCCCAAAACAAAACACCGCCAAACCCCTCATTTTACCTTCTGAGCAAACACCGCCCCCCTTTTTTTGGTTTTTTTGAGACAGAGTCTTGAAATGTAGTTCAGGCTGGTCTTGAACTTGCAGAGATCCAATTCTCCTGCCTCAGCCTTCTGAGTGCTGGATTACAGGTGTGCAGATCACACCTGGCAAACAAACACTGTTAAACTCCTGTTCTGTTCTGTCTCCTGTCTAGCTAGTGTCTGGAAAGGAGCTAAGGACCTGGTGGCTGCCCACCTGCAGCTCTCTGTGCTGCATTAGCCTCTTGGTCCATCAGGCAGCAAGGATTTGCTCTGTTTCTTGGTGTCCTTTTGTCCTCTCATCAAGCCCCAACCTTAAGAGCCTGTGTGAATTCTCCTTTCTTCTTGAGGTTTGTCATTGAGGACGCACATGACAACCAATTGTTAAGATGGTCTGAATGATGATGGCATATGTGAAGGACCTGTCTCAGTAGCTGCAGTCCTGGATCCTGTGGATTTGTGCTAGCTCTAAACCTTGACATTCCTGTTTTTGATGGTCCCTCTTGGGCTTAGCTCTCCCTGCATACTCCCTACTGTGTGCACTTTGTAAAGGGCAACCCCCCCGCCATGAGCATTCCTTAGCCTAGCCTTTGAAGAGGCCACTTTCTTAAGGGATATGCTCAGGCTTCGCTTTGGCATGGGCTGAAAGCTTGACTAACACAACCATCCATGGTACAAATTCTTGTTACAAGTGTTTGCTGGTGGAGTGGCAAGAGGAGGATTAGATATGAGGAATTGTCTCCTTCCTTGTCTCCCTCATGACCCCTCTTGTTTCCACTTAACGTGTATGCGCATGTGTGTACATATAGCATATATCCCTTTTTTTGTAGAGAGCTGATAAAGATTGAAGTTTGGGGAATATGCTATACTCTTACCTTTAACACAGGCTACCAGGCCTTCTAGACTGACCTTTCTCCACTTTAAACATCCGTGTTTTCTCTCCTTGCCTCTTTCTCTAATGGTGAGGCATCTCCCTGTCTGTGTGGGTAATTGGAGAGGATGCTGGGACCAGATCCATCTTGATGCCCCCTGTTCCGGATGCCATCATAGCTGCTGGGTTCTGGAAGCATCATGGTGTGTGTGTGTGTGAACATGTCAGTCTGTAGATCTCCCGATGAATTATCTTGGCATTTAATAAGCTCTTACTTTGGGTCACACCCCATGCTAAGCATTTTCTGGGCATGATCTCATTTAATGCACACAATAGCTGAAAAACATCAAGGCACACAGAAGTGAAGTAATTTGAGGTCATACAGTTAGTAGGGACAGAAGCAGAATTCAAACCCATACAAATCTGAGTCCAGAGGCAGTGTTTATAACTACTACCATCTGCAGGTTCCAGGTCCAGTTTGGACATAGTGTGGTCCTATGAGCGAGTAAGTGAGGAGTGTGGCTGGCTAGAGTTGATATTTTCCATCGGAAGTGTGTTCACGGAAGCTTTGGCATAGTAGTCATCAGATCACAACAACAGACAGTGTAGACAGGTACCCAGCTGTCAGCTAGACACAGAGTGTGTAGTCATCTTGGGGCAGGGAAGCACTGTGTGGGTGTCTCCTTTCCTTCCAGTTGGGCTGCTTCCTCCTGGTCACACGGAGCCTGTTTCTCACTGCATGAGTGAGCTTTCCGGCTTTCTCTAGCTCGGTCAGCCTGATCATCAGGCTGGAACCTCCTCCCTGTGATGCAAGCCTTCTGTAGAGCTTGTGTCTGTCTCCTGTGTTGTTTTCTTTGTAGTCCTTGGTTGTGCACAACAGGAGGTCATGTTTTTAAGGTGGAATGATAATGCAGAAGTTGATGAGACCGTGAGGGAAAGACATTTAAAAAGTGAAAGTAATACCCAGAAGGAAGTAGAAAATGACTTCGCTTGCTCGCTTGCACTGATGTGAGTCTGCTTTGTTTTCTTGGTTTTTCACCCCTGACTTTAGATGGGATTTGGTGCTCTCTGCTATTACTACTTCTTGAGACACATTTGGCATGTAGTGTCACTGTATGTGTAGGAGTGTATATACCCCCTAGCATTACACACAAGGGCACTGTATCAGAACCAGAATCAGAGCAGCCAGCACTTTGGAGCTGAGTGTCGCTGGGCCTGTTCTCTCCTTTGTGATGGGTATTGTACATTCTTCTCTGCTTCCAGCATGGTTTAGGGGTGGAGTGGGGCCGGAAGGAGAGTGTTCTGCAGAATCAGACAACCCCAGGGTATGTGCTAGAGCCTTGCTGCCAGCCTCATCATTTTCCCTGTGAGAGCCTCAGAGCTCTGTCCAGGTTGGAAAGACAAGAATCCTTGGGCTATTATCAGTCTTTGGCTGAGAACTGCATATACTGTCAGGAAGGAGGACCATTTCCAGAGCTTCTGACTTGGTTTCTCTTTATCCACATGCACAGGCAGGTGAGCTTCAAGCTGGCTCCCCCACCCACCTCAGTCTCTGGCCAGCTCGATGCTGCCTTCACTTATCTACACTCCCAGCTTTGCCTCTGAGCCCTGTTCTTTTTCCTTTTCCAATGAAAGCTTTCTTTTTAAAATGTTGTTTTTATTACTGCTGCTTTAGCACAAATCCCATCCCTGATCATTACAGAAAAAGCAGACAGGGAAAAAGAACATGAAAAGCACCACAGTCCTACCTAGAGAGAACCACAGGCAGCACCTTGGTATATTTTCTTCTCGATCCTTCAGATCTTTTTCACATGCATATTGTACACACATATTTTCCAGCTTAAAAAATTCTCAGTGCTATATTCTGAACATTTTCCCATGTAACAGATATTTATACCAGTGTTTAAAGATTTCAGAGAATATATTTAGTAAAAGCAAGTTGCACTCATGTAAGTAGTACACAAGTGTATTAAGTATCCCTGTAGAGTTTATATATTATGATTTTAACTGACACAAATAGAAGCATTCCGTATTCATTATACCTTTGTTCAACTTAACACAAAACTTGGAATTCTTTTCAGATCCTCAGGTGTGGCTATATCACTCTTTTTGTCTTCTGCATCATATGGGTAAATTATAATTTATTTACCTAGCCCTCTGTTGATGGACATTAATGTTTCTAGTTTTTTCTTTTATAGAAAATGATTAAGTGAGACTACCCATAATATTTTGGAATATACTTGCCAGTATGCCTATAGGCTATAACCTTGTAGTATAATTGTTAGACTAAAGAGAATGTGTATCTAAAAAAATTTGATGGGGGTCCGAGGATGCAGCTCAGTGGTAGAGCACACTAGCCTAGCATGGCCTGGGTTTGATCCCCAGCACCAAAAACACAAAAACCAAAAAATGAAAAATAACCCAACAGAACAAAGCATTGCCAGATTCCTCTTGGGGCAGGGGGGAGGGGCTTGTTTTTAAGTCCAGCTCTTCCTTTCCGATAAGCCATCGGCTTTGCTGGTGAGAGCAGACTTTGTGGAGGCTGGACATCACCTCCCTTCACTCAACAGCCTGTTTGATTTCCTGTGTGGAGCAGCTCTGTCTCTTCCTCCTGCAGCAATCCCTCCTGCTTCCTGTGGATCCAGGTTCCTTCCCAGGAAGCCCCCAGAATTTTGCTGTGACAGGTGTTACTGTTTAGGGGAGGAGAGCAGGTACCAGCTACAGGAGCTGACTGCTCAGACCCCTTTCTCCTGAAAGTACCCCCATCTTCCAGGATGGTAAGTAGCTTGGCAGGGACCTTGTGTTTCTCCTACCTCATTATTGTTGTTTCCAGGACTGCTTAATTGTTAACCTCAGAGGCCAGGGCCCAGGTTTACCAGGACTTTGTTGTTTGGTAATTTGGATGGCCATGTGCTAGGCCATCAGCAGAGCTGGTTGGGAGGGATGTTAATGGGACCTCATTAATGAAATAGCAATTAAAATTCTTTGGACACAT